TTGACCATTATTCTTGTTGAATCCAATACTTCTATAAAGTCAAACAAGACTATACGTATTTTTAAAAATTTTATTTTTCTAGTAATTATATTTTACAAGTGTTTTTAGAACAGTATTGACCTGCAATCACTTGAGGCCAAAAGCTTACCTGGTCCTTTCTCTACCAGGACAGAGAAGCATTAAAGTCAAGTAATCTATCCAGTTTTGAACACAAAGAACGAACTCCTAAAACATTAAAATCCTCTTTACCTATTAGACTATTCATCAATTACTAAACATTTACTATCAGCCATCTAAGCAAAAGATAGGCGTTCCTGGCTGACACGGTTAAGTGCTTGACTGCTAACCGACAGGCTGGTGATTGAACTCACTGAGTGGAGCCTCTGGAAATAGATTTGAAGATCAGCTTCAGAAAGGCTACAGCCTTACAACACTCTATGGGGTAATTCTAGTCTGGGCTCACAGGATCACTATGAGAAGGAATCAACCGAATAGCAACTAAGGACAAGTATAAGAAGCATTCATTTGATCTGTCTGGAGGCTTGTGTTTCAAAAAAGGAAAAAAACAAAACCAAACCAACATGACATGATGTAGCAGAAATGTTAAAGAAATTTATAAAATCTACATAATATGGCACATAACAATATGTAAAAAATTTAAAGGAAAAGGTAGTAAATTTCAAGGAAAACAAAGTCAAAAGATCCACTGCCTCATAATGGCCCTGAGGGACAGAGCAGAATTGTGACAAAAGGTTTTTGAGGCTGTAAATCTTTAAGGAGGTAGACTGCCACATCTTTCTCCCACAGAGCAAGGTAAGCCTGAATTGCCGGCCAGCATTTTAATCCCTCTGCAACTAGATCTTAACTTTAAAGGGCAAACTCTCAACAAGTAATATTGTGGAAAAAATAAGGCCTCAAGAATTGAAGCTTCCTTTAGGTTAAAACTGCCACACCGAAGGAAGTGAGAACTAGGTCTTTGATTGGGAGCTGTGGTGGCCTAGTCTGTAGGGAGGTGTGCTGTTAACCCTGAGGGGGCACACCTCTGGCAGTTCATGCAGTTTTACTGCCTCAGAAATGAGTTAACTCTGACTCCACAGCAATGAATAGTTGTTGGGTTTTTCTTCATTTTATAGGACTGACAACTGAGAAAATGGAGGGACGTGTTAGGCAGAGATGTGCCCCAGCAAATCAGAAGGAACCACTATGAATGAATGTGACTAATAGGGAGCTCTGGTGGCCTAATAGTAAGAAGTTGTGCTGCAATCCTAACGGCATACAGTTCCTCTGCGGGGGAAAGTCTCCTCTTGTGTGATTAACTGCCTCTAAAAACCCACTGGAGGGTCTGCTATAGGTCAGTTCCGACTCAACGGAACACAACAATAGGCAAACAGTGAATAGAGGCTGGAACTTGTTAGGAAAAATGTAGGGACCTTTACAAAATGAGGGAAATTTATTAAAAATAAGGGAGCTCAGGTGGTATAGTACTTTGGGTGTTGCTGTTAGACTGAAAGGTTGCCTCCCCTGTGGCTGGAGAAGATGGGCAGTCTTCCCCCTTTACGATGGAAGGTGCCTTGGAAACAGGATGGAGGCTCACTATGAGTAGAACCTCCTTGAGGTTTTTTTCAGAAAATGAGGCTTAGGGTCAAGGCCAGAATATGAATGTCATTGTATATATACTTGACTGTGGCTGGCCAAAGAGGAGTCTCATTTTTAACCTAAAATGACACACGTTGAGGTACTGGAGCTCGTGAATTGAGTGATTCATGGGAAAGAGCTTAATTATAATTTAGGTAACAAATCCAGGCTATGTCCTCATTTGATAGTAGAGAAGGGACGGGAATAACGAATCCATCTGTGAAAACCCAAGCTAAATCAAGTGACCTGTAAATTCCGACCACGTTGACCACCAAGCCACACACCTGTTTTTTTTCTGAACTGGATGGGGAATTCCGAAGTGGAAATCCCAGGGAATCTTCTGTTCTACTTTAGGGGCTCCAAATCACTTCTCATCACAGTCCCACTTACATGGGAAATCCAAACCGTGCGGCGTAAAGTTGGGAGAGCAAGGAAAGGGAGATGACAACTCGGTCAGGTCCGGGGCGAGGCGTGTATGCCCAGCCAAGCACTCCGGGACAGGAACTGCGCGTGCGCGCCCGGGCGCGCGCCCCGCCCCCTCCCTTTAAAGCGGGTGGCGGGAAAGGGAACTCAGAGCCTCACAAATGTACCTCCAGAGTTTCCAAGAGAGGCCGACCCCTATACATTTAGGAGCCTCCTGCCCACACACTCACTCACCCGCTCCCCGCGGGTCCTCAGGATCCCCACGGAGCCAGCAGCCCCGGAAGAAGAGCCGACAACCTTTCCCGCCACGGGCGTCTCGGTGCCAGTCTCCGCCCGCTCGGGGGCGGGGGCGAGCCGGACTGGTCCACGTGACCCCGAGGGGCAGGGGGATTGGCGACGAAAAAAGGAAAAATGAAGTGATTCTAAGTACTGTTTGTTTTATCGCAGGAGACCGCTTACATTGAACTACAAAACAAAGGACTGTAAATTGTCTGCTGATTTATAATAATAGGAGCCCAAGTCTTTAGAGGTGAATGAAAAATATTCATTCCCTTCTAGTTTTAAATTGACTTTTCCAAAGTCTAAATGGTTAGAAAAGTTAGGATTTATTGGAAGGTCGTGGAGAAATGAAATCTGGGGAGAAAATAGTTTTTTTAAATGTATGTGGCGAATCTGTCATATAAAGACTAGCCTTGGTGGTGCACTGGATTAGGCATTCCGTTGCTAACAGACAAGTTGACAGTTCAAATCCACAGGTGGAAAAAAAAAATGAGGCCCTCTGCTTCCTGAAGATTTACAGGCGTTAGAAACACTAAGGAGCAGTCCTACTCTGTTCTCTATGAGTCAGGATCAATTAGAGGACCGTGGATGTGGTTTTGATCATAGATGCCTAGTGGCACATGGTTGATCGCTTGTCTGCTAACAGAAATGATGGTTTGACTCTACCAATTGTTAACGAAGAGAAAAATGTGGTAGTTGGCTATCTTTTCACTTATTGCCATCAAGTGGATTTGGACGCACTGAGCCCTCCTCGGTTTCTGAAGCTGTAAAACTTAATGGAAAGAGACTGACTGCTCAACTAACTTCCTTGTGAGGAGCAGTTAGCTGGTGGGTTTACGCTCCTGAAGAGTGGCTGGTGGATTCCAATAGCCAGATTCCAATGTCCTTTTGGTTAACAGTATGGCATCCTAAGGATGATGCCACCAGATTTACAGCCTTGGAAACCTAATGGGGCAATTCTACCCTGCCCTTTAAATGACTATGAGTTGGAATCAACTCAAGGGAAATACAGTCGTCCCCATTGTTGCTGCTGTTAGTCACACTGTAGATGATGAGTCGTGGTCACCTATGTATGCAGAGTAGAATTGTTCCATACAGTTTGGTGGCATAAACAGTTAATGTGCTAGATTGGTAAGAGTGGTTCAAGTCCCCCCAGAGGTCCTCAGTAGAAAAATCAGCCAATGAAAACTCTGTGGAACACAGTTTACTCTGACACACAGGGTAGCTAGACTCAGAGTCCACTCCGTGGGCTCAAAGGCAACTGGCATGATTTGGTTTGGTTTGTCATGCTTTAGTTAAAGCTTGAGAAATGTGAATGAGATTCATTAAAGGATGAGATCAACAAATATTCATTGGTCAGTTGAAGGTCTTTCCACATACTCCCCTTCAGAAATGAATGTATTTTGCCAACAAAAAGGATAAGGATCAAAGAGATAATTATCTCACGAATTTTTAAGCATTTGGATAAAAGGAATAAATTTCTGGGATATGAAGGAGAGTTAAAAAAGACTTGCTTTGAGATGAAAAGACAAATGAGAGAAAAGTGAAAAGACGCACATAAAAAAAGGAAGAGAAAGTGGGCTATAGCAATGGTGATAAAAGCAAAAAGATGTCATTGAAGAGTGTTTTGATTTTCTCTGACTCAATTAAGACCACTGAGGATCAAAGCCTCTCTCCTTCCTAAGTACAATCCCTTCCTCCTCAATTTGCTCCAGTCATCAGTTTCTTGTTTTGGTCTTCTGAGGTCATCTCTCTGGAATGCAATTTGGGAGATATCAGGCAGAATTGTTAAATTGCTTGATTTTCTAGATTCTAGGCTTTCTTACTCCTTATTTAAAGGTTGGAAGTTTGCTGGCCCAGGGCCTCTGAAGAGATTCATCATGCCAGAATGATCATACAACCCAGCCAGTGAAGGTAGACAGATGTATAAAGCTTTAAAGCTCTCTCTCTCGGGATATATATATCTATATCTATAGATCTATAGATCTATCTATAGATATATAGTTTTAAAGCTTTTTAAAGGTTTATAGAGCTCAAACCTCAGTGTTCACTTTTCTCAGAGCTATTTCCTTTCCCAAATCCCAAAGGGCAAGGATCCCTGAGATAAGTATACTCTTCTATTAACTTTCCCAAAACTTTTTGTCCAACTCCATCCTAATTCAGGGTTTATACCTCCATTCCCCATCACCACCACTACCACTTCTCCCCTCACTTCCACCTCCATGATTATCTCAGCTATGATCCAGAAAAATAATGAGGCCTTTCTCCCACCTGAAATGCTTTGTCTCCTCTCTCCTTTCTATCTGCTTTCTGTGAGGAGTTACTTCTGGCTTTCTTGCTCCCTCAGAAATTTCACACACACTTGACTGGTAGAAGGATAAAGGCCAGAAAACTCAAGATAGATTAAGTGACCTGTAAGTTGGTTTCCTGTGCTCACCACACTGGGATGGGGGGAAGGAGGCACAGGATAATACCTAGCTCTTGTGCCTCACACCTTAGACACAGCCACACTCAGCCACATTCATACTCACAATCATGCACCCACGGCGATGGGAGGTGAGGTGGGGAGGAAGGGAATTTTGCACCAACCAGCTAATGAATGCAACTTGAAAGATTTCACACAGCAAAAGGAAAACACACACACATAAATTAAAAAATAAAGCAGCACATGCCCCTCCCCACAGTCTCTTCATCCAGGGGCAAGCTCAGCCCCTCCACGTAAATCCTACATCCCTCTATCCAGCTGGAGCTTTTACAGGGCCTGGGTCTTCAGTTCCACGGGCTCCCCTGTGCCCTCTGGTTGTCCATTGGAGTCACTGGGTCTGGCTCCCTTAAGGATAGACAGTCTCTCAGAAACACTCTTGAGCCGAGGGAAGAGGAGAAAGTCATAGAGGAGGCTTCCCAGACCCCCTCCGATGATTGGGCCCACCCAGTATACCTGTAGGGAAAAGAAAGAAACACTCAGGCTTGGGGAGGGGGCCAAGAGCAAGGCTGCTCTTTTTCTACCCTCTCTGTGGAAAACAGATGTTTTAGACTTGGCCCATAAAACTGGGAATTATCTAAGAAAAATCATTATGTTTTTTATAACCTCTAGCCTCTTACTGCCTGCAACTTAAAATTCACTCTTTCTTTTCTGAATCATCAGATGATTCCTTTATCCCACACCTTCTTAGCACAAGTATATTTAATTTATTATTAACCAGCTCAACAACACCTAAAACAGCAAATATATTGTTTTGATATTTGGGGGAATTATTTTCAAGTGTTTGGTCTTTAGGTGGTCAACAATATAAGCATAATGAATATTTATTGAGGATTCACTTCATATCAAATCCTATGCTCAATATTTCACACCTACACCTTTTACATTTATTTCTCATACTATTCCAATTTATAAAGAAGCAAAGACTCAGAATAAATTACTTATCTAAAGTCACACACAAGGCTAGTGTAATGAAGTACTAGAATTGGAACGAGGTCCAGGCCCATCTGTATTCTCAGCACATCCTGATCTCTGAAGTTAGAAGTTTTATTATTATGTTCAACTGTGTGGCCTCAGTACTAGTCTCAGAATTTAGTGGTAATTTAGTGAAAATTCCTTAACTAACTAATGGAAGAGTAACATAAGCAATATCTTCACTTTCTGGCAAAATCATGAATTCACAAAACCAAGTCAAGCTCTCTGACGGCCCTCTTTGTTAAGGTGCTGATAGAGCAGCCAATACATCCAGATAGAAAGTAGACTAAAATCTGGAACCTGCAACCCACATTCATCCAGCAGGATTTTAGGATGTCCCTCTCCCCTCACTCACCCAGTGGTTGGTGAAGTTTCGAGTAAGAATGGCAGGAGCAAAGGAACGGGCAGGATTCATGCCTGCACCAGTATAATACATCTGCAAAAGACATAGTTATAATTGAGAACCTCCCCTTTCAACCCCAATTACACTCCCCACAAACCTTATTATTCCTGAGAACTGGCACCTAGGGCAACTTGAACACTGACACCCTTTCTGGGGACACTATAGACTCAAGAACAAAGCCCCCAAACAAATGTGACTTTCACTCTGGAATTAGGAAGAACCAAATATATATTATTCAGAGGGAGAGGAAGAGGGCAAGGTTCATTGCTCTTTAGCAACTGAAAAAGAGAGACATAGGTAATGCTAATGTTTGATGCTGGGTTAGGCAAGAAGAACTCTGAAAACTCAGGGAAGGTTTGGAGCCCTGGAATCTTTGAATAATCAGCTGCTCTCATTTTCTGCTTACCCCAAGCAGGTGCCCCAGGGTGAGGGAAAAGCCAACGGCCAAGGCCACAGAGCCCAGACGGCCATTCCGCCTCTCATCGTATGTGGCAAAGATGCAGAGCACGAACTGGAGTGTCAGGAAGATCTCCACCATGGTAGCTTGGCCCACACTCACCCCAGGATGCAACTGGGCAAAGGAAGAAGAAGGGAGGCATCTCATTAGAGCTGCCACAGTGTTACCTCATCAAGGCTTCCCAGGCAGAGTTTCCCTTATGGCATCAGCTCCCTGGAGAGGAAGGATAATACAACCCCCTTCATAATAGTTATATCTTTATCTTCAGTTTCTTCTAATAATATCTAACAATACTTTAAGGTGTATTTAATTGTACCACGTTTTTGGATTCTCAGTCTACGACTCTGTGCCCTCCTTGCCCATAATATACCACTTCTTCATCCTTCCTATTCTTAACCTCACATTCTCATACATACAACCCCCTCCACACCCCAAATCCTTCAGATTACAAGGGACATGATTTACCCACCATAGCTGATCTACCCACCCTACCTCCTTAGGCAGGAATTAGGGTACCAAGTCCCCCCAACCCCTTTTGGCCAACCATTACCGTGTTAAGTGCCAGGTTTCCTCTGACAGCAGGCGGAGTAACACTGTACAACATGGCAGCCCCAGTCACGGCTCCCAGGAGCTGAGCTGCCATATAGCAGAAGGCACGGAGCAGGGACATTTGAGATCCCACAAGGAAGGCAAAGGTGACCGCAGGATTAACATGGGCTCCACTGATATGGCCCACAGTCTGGACCAGTGTAGCCAGGGCCAGGCCAAAGGCCAAAGCCACTTGTAAGACATGCAGGGGGCCAGGAGACCAACGCAGAGAGGCCCCCAGCCCAAAGAAGACATAGAAGAGGGTAGCAAAGAACTCAGCAAATATGGCCCTCCAGAAGGAGGCTGACCGTAGTTCCCACATGGCAAGGGGGGATGGGCACTATGCCTGGGTTCCTGATACCCCCTGTCCCAGTCTGGATGGATAGTTCCCTTTATAGAGGACTCTTAATCCCTGGGAGGGGCAAACCGAGGTAGCTGGCCCAGCCTTTTAACCCCTTCACAGATTTGGAAAGCTGGGCTCTCTCTCATACCTCTGATAAAGCAATTAGATTGTTTCTCTCCCTTCTTAACCGCTAGATAAAGAGAGACATTGAGGGAGTGAGGGGTTGAGTAGAGTGAAATGTTATTCAAGCTAGAGATGCTCTGACCGAGAAGAACCAAGACAGGGAGAAGAAGAGTGTGCCCTTCATGTCAGAGTTGGGTACAAAGTCCCCAACTTTGTACATCTATGCTAGAACATTCTGCTTAGAAGTCGGTCAAGCTGAACTCACTACTTGGGGTATGGGGCTGTGCTCCTGGGGGCCTCCAGACTCCTCTGAGTGCCAGGGATAAGGGTGGGGGTGGGGGTCAGGAGTGGGGTCCAGCAGGGAAGTTGGATAACTGAAGAGCATTCTTTAGTTCCCTGGGATTAGAGGGCCTTCTCCCATTGGCTGGTTTGAGCTGGAATCTGTGGATCCTGCAGCTCTGGAACAGAATAGTTCTGCTGTGCATAGCTTTCTCTGAGCCAGAGTTTCCCACCCCCAACCCAGGTCAGTACCTCCCTTTCCAAAGCCCCAGCGTTGCCTTTTAGATACAGAGAAACACAGGAGGCAGAAGCTATCGTCAACTGAGGGTGGAGTGGGTGCTGGGAAGACCAAGGGGGTCACTTCAGAACAGCTAATATTTCATTTTACTTAACACACAGGGCCATAGTATGAAGTAGTAAAAGGAAAGAAACTTAAGCATGGCTATGAAGCAATGAAATGGAAGGATCTAATGCCCCTAATAGGGAGCTCTCCTGGTCTAGTAGTAAGGAGTTGCACTGACAGCCCAAAAGTGTGTACTCTGAATCCACCAGCTGCTCTGTGGGAGGGTCAGTTAGGAGTCACTTCTGACTCTATGGCATTCAACAATAACAATGCTCCTGATATGGCTGTGACCAAGACATGAGTCCAAACCCCTATGTTTTCTTCCACGCCATGATGAAAGTGTCCCTGATCCCTAGGGAAAAGGTTTAAGAGTGGTCAAGGAAAGAAAATGGGCAAAATTGGGAAGGAAAGCTTGTGAAAAGCTGTTCAGTTATGCTCAGGCTTGATGAGGGACTTCCCACTAGACTCCCATTCCTCTCCTCCTTAGGCTCACTCTGATTCACTCTCTCTTTAGAAAAACTTCAACCACATGATTCTGAGTCTATTGACCCTCAAGCATCTGACATGAAGGAGAAAAAAAGATAACAGTCGTGGCCTAGTGGCAAGAAGCTGCACTGCAGTCCCAGAGATGCACGGTTCAAATCCACCAGATGCTCTGCCAAGGAAGGAGGGACAATTTCCTCCTGTACCATTCAGATTCGATTTGACGGTTCACCACACAAAAATAATAAAAAAATTAAAAAAAAATTGTGCAATTTTCTTGGAAAAAAAAGATAACAATCAAAGAATAAGCCACCAACCAGCTGTATGGGGATGTAGCAGGGGAAATGAGAAAGAGTATGGGCTTTCAGTATGGAAGTCAGGTAAAAAGATGTCTATTCAATTAAGAAAAGAAGCACAAGTGGAGAAAGACTAATGCCACATGGAGATAGCAAAGGAAAAGAAATTGGAAAAAAAACCCTCAAGTATTTTCCACTACAGCAGAGAGAAAGAAAGCCTTCACTTTGATCAAACACCCTAAACTTTGACATCTACCCACCTAAAGTAATAAATTTGTTCAAACAAACAAACAATGATGTTGAGTCCTCCTTTTATCAGGAATCTAACATGTCAGATCACTATATTTGGCCGGCCTAGTTCAGACACTGTTGAGGGATCTGCTCCAGTTTGGAGTCTTTTCTTCTAGATTTAGGTGAGTGAAGCTGAGCAAGTGTTCAGGTACCACTCTAAAGAAAAAGGTCATCAGAGAGATGAAAGCTCCAGTCCTTTGACCGGGAAATGGTTTTTATCTCCTTTCACTCAATAGAAAGCAGTCTCATCTCATCTTTAACCCAGACTCCTAATCAGTGCTCTCTTAGAGGACACCTTAGACACTTGATACCACCCTCATTTCTAGGTATCTTATCTCCCCAGCTTTAGAACCCCTTTCTGTACTACCAAGCTTTTTCTTAATCTTTAATAACTTCTAGTAACCAGAGATGTTGGTATTGAAGGAAGAGACTCATTCATCCTTATACTCCGTAATCTTCCTTATGAACTTGAACTTCAAGAACCACTAAGGAAAAAGGAAAAACTAAAGTGAATACCTAAAAGACAAACAGAATCCCAAGGAAGGCAAGATAACCTCCACGCCTCACCGAAGACACAGTAAAATCAGGGAAAAGGTATCAGTGCTGGGCTGGGAACTAGTCCACTGGATTCTGAAAAGGCAAGCGCCCTTGGGGAATTGCCTGGGAGTACCGAGGATTCCTGTAGCCTGACATGTCTGAGGTTACCCAGGACACCTCAAATCACTTCTGGTTGTTTGGTTTTTCTGATTAGTTTGTCCCCATACTTTATTTATTTATTTATTGCTATTATTAGTCTGTTTCATTGTTATAGTTGAGATTATTTTCAAGAGCTGAAAAATATTATTCCCTACCTTTCTCATAGTGGTGTTAAGGGGTTTATTGTTCAAAATTACTTTCCTAGCCATTGATTTTGATGTTGTAAAGTGGATGGGTGAGAATATGTGAACAGGGTATGTCAGCCTAATCACAAGGAGATTGGCTAGTTTCACCATTAAATTGGCAGATTTGGTGGCAGATTTTGAAAATCTTACCAAGAGCAAAAAAGAAGCAGAGAACGCATAGTGCACACGTCCTTCGGGGCCAGAGATTCTTGGGCTGACCAGACCCATAAGAAAACAGCAGCAGCAGCTACAACAGGGAACCAGAGATCTGATGTGAGACAACCAGATTCAATGTGAGTCTCGGAACTGCTATTCCAGAGTCAGAGCCATAAGTGGCAAGACTAAAAGAGCTTTGTAACACTAGCCTAAACTTGCAAGCCTATAGGCTGAAAGGCCTGTGAACTCACTTCAGAAGCTACTCAGACTGAGAAATTGTATCCCATTAATTTCCCTAGTAAACCTCATAATCGTAAATATGGTTCTATGTGGTCTGTGAGCTCTTTGGGGTTTTGGACCCAGTTGAGGAGTAAGGTGGTACTGGAATTAGTAGTAAGAGATGCATGAACAAAGGGGACATGTCTGACCTCATGGAGATTGGTTTTGTGTTGTGGATGTTGTTGATGGAGGCAATTCCCCCTTGTGGAGTTAGCAGGATTATCTGAATATCCTCATGCTCTCTTTGCTCCTTTTACACTCGTTCAGGCATTAAGAAAGCATACAATATGCAAGGATGAATGAATATTTTTTTAAAAAGTGAACTGGGTGGAAGTAGGGAAGAAAATATGCAACAATGAATGAATGAAAATCCAACTTTTCTTTTTTTTTTCCAACTTTTCTATAAACTTTCATTAAAATCACAATTAAAACAAAAGAAAACATACTAACTAAAAAATTTTTAGTACTTTTCCCCCATAGGAACACTAGAAGTGGAAAGTTATTCGTAAATTAATGAACATAGAGATAGTTATAAAGTTATTTACAAGTCTTAATGCCTTGTCATTATAATCATCCTAGAGTCTCATCTATTTCTCACTTGACTGGGTTATCCCTTTCTCTCTTTATACAAAATGTAGAATTCAATGATATTTAATTACAATTACTACATTATATTGCAATTACTATCACAGTGAAGATGGTGTAAGGATAGGCAGTATTTTGTTCTGTTGTACATAAGGTCATTATGAGGTGGAACCAACCTGGTAGCAGATAACAAAAAACTATCTATTTCCCAGTTTTACATCACTCCAAACAGAAACTCTAATAGTATAGCTACCTAAGTTCCTATTGTTCATAGAGTTTTAAAAGGCCTGTTTTTTCAGAAGTAGATGTTCAATCCTGCTTCCTAGTCTGTCTTAATTTGAGAGCTCTGGTGAAAACTGTTCTCCATACCCTCTGGCATTTCAAATACCGATGGCATAACTTCTAGCATCTCAGCAACCCACAAGTTATCCCAGTACAACAAACTGACAGACAAGTTCTGTACTAATAAAAGTAAATTATGAACATACAAGCATAGACACACACCTAAGGAGGATCCTCAGTGAGATGGATTGACACAGTGACTGCAGCAATGGGTCCAAATGTGTTGGAGATTATGAGGATTGTGTAGGATAGGACAGGATTCAGATCTATTGTTTGTAGGGTCGCTATGAGTTGTACTGGACTCAAGAGCACTTAAGGACAATAATAACAAACAAGAACTCAATTATCCTTTAATAGATAACTTCATTTCCTCCCCCTTACAATCTTTGGTAACCACAGATAAACTTTTATCTCTATGCATTTGATTATTTTAGATTTTTCATAAAAGTGGGATCATAACAATATTTATTGTCCTTTTATCCATATAATGGAATGTTCTATGTTATGGCACGTACCAGAATTACATTTGTTTTTTATAGCTGAATAGAATTGTGTTGATTCCACTTTTTGGCTGCAATTGTGAATAATGATGTAGTAAACATTGATGTAACAAACAGTATCTGTTTGAGTCCCTGTTTTAAAGTAGCGTTCAACCAAAACAGAAAACACACCTTTGTAGAATCCAGCTGCTACACTCATCTTCCCAAATTGGAAAGCAGTCCCAAACTAGCAACAAAATGCCTTTTTAAATAACTTGAGGTTACTGTGGTGCTAAACACTGTGATACTGATGTGTCAAATGTGATAATGTGTATGTATCCATGGTAAACAGTGTTTGGTGGAGCTCCCAGATTTAAAAAAAAGGCTTGGAAACAGGAATGGCATCCACTTTCGAAATAGCTTGCCTCCGGAAGTTCTATGAACTTAAGAGAAAAACGAGGAAAGTTATACAAGTGCTCAG